CAAGGCAACATGGCAGTGGTTGGTAGATGCCAGGACGTGTCTACATGCCAGTGGGTCTTACACACATGCACACACACACATGCACACCCACGCACACACACACACACACACACACACACACACACACACACACACAAATACATGCACGTGCAAGCATGCATGCACTCACACACACACACACACACACACACACACACAGTTAATTTCCTGGATTTTCTGCACAAAAACCTGGAGAAACGTAAGACATCACTAGCCGGTGTCCTTGTTGACTTCAGGAAGGCTTTTGACCTTGTTGATCATTGCACTGTTACAACAAGGCCATTGCACTAGGGCTGCCCACCAACCTGGTCTCATGGCTCACTGATTTCCTGAGTGAGCGTCGTCAGGCAGTGAGGTACCAGGGTTCTGTCTCCACATTCCAACACCTCACCTGCGGTGTTCCCCAGGGGACCAAGATGGGACCACTGTGCTTCCTAATCCTGATCAACGACGCTCTGTCAGACACTCCTCACAGGTGGAAGTACGTGGATGACAGCACTGTGGGGGTTACAGTGGACAGCACCTCACGGGACTACTCATAGCTACAAGGCACACTGGACAGGCTACAGGCATGGACTACAGAGAAAAAGGTCACCATCAATCATACCAAAACCGTAGTCATGCACATCAATACCGCCACCACTCCAGTGCAAGCTCCAGCAGTTACACTGGGTGCCCATCCTCTCCAGTTAATGCAGTCTGCCAAACTCCTGGGTGTAACTATAGACCACAAACTGGACTGGAAGGCCCATGTAAACAACACAATCAAGGAAGCCTCGTACCTACTCTACATGCTATGACGACTCAGGTCACTTGGGGCACCCACGCCAGAGCTGAGGACTATCTACAACGCATTTATTCTCCCAAAATTAACGTATGCATCACCAGCCTGGTCGTCTTCTCTCAACTCTACCCAACAACGTGAGCTAGAGAAGGTACAGAAGAGTGTCTGCAGAATCATGCTCGGCGCAAATTACTCCGGCTGCAACAACGCTCTCTCCACCCTGGAAATGCCATCCCTCAGTGACCTCCACCACCAAGCACTAGCAAGGTTTGGCAGTGGACTACTGCACCATCCTCGTCATCGCCACCTACTGCCACCGGCAGTCCCCGCCCACCTTGCGCAGCCCGCCACTACAACAAAATTTAGCCCATAAGAGCCCGCACCGATAGATATAAGAATAGCACCATCCCATCTATTGTTAAAATAATAAACAGCTCCTGATTTATGTACTGTACAGCCCTGTAAATGTATTGAACGTGTATTATTATGTCTAAATCACATTTAAGTTTGTATATTTTCAGCCACCGGCTGCAACTCTATTAATAATCTGTTTATTATTATTATTATTATTATTATTATTATTATTATTATTATTATTATTATTATTATTTTTCCACATACTATAAGCTTATGTGCAGTATGCTACATTAAAGTGTAATGATTGAATATCAGACCAAAGCTTACAGCCCAGAATTACATCACATATAACAGCAAGTACACTACAGACCTCGTGGTACCACCACATACCAGGTGGACACACCCCAAGACCCAAGGGACGCGACCTCGTCCGCTAATTAGCTGAATTAGCGGGTGATCTCACCTGACCAAGACACCTGGGCATGACCACACCTGAACACAGCTGTCCAGATCTAACTAGTTTAGTGTTAATTCGGCTAAGGTCAAACACCGGCTGGGCCCCATATAAAGGCCTGCAGTCCTGCCCACGAAATTATTCTGATTATTCTGTTCGGGATTCTGACCTTGTCATTCGGTCAGTCTGGTTACTGTCATCTCTCTCCCGTCCGGGCCGTCAGTCCATCCACTCGCAGAGTCAAGCTCGTCTTCTCCCCAGGCCGGGGGGGAGACTTCCCGACCAGACCCCGGCCTCATCAGCTAAGCAGAGCCCCCCATCGGAGACAGAGCCCAGCCAACACCCACTGGGCCTACGTCAGGGTACACGTGAGTCATTGTCAGAACGATCTCTAGGGTGAGTTACCTACTGTGGGAAGTGTATTCATTCATGTGTGTCCGAGAGTCAGTGTCGAGTAACGTAAAACATAATGTGTTAGTGCCCTGATATAATAATGATATTGATGTATCCATGTCATTGAGTGAATTAATAAATAGTTGTATCGAAGAGGTGTTTGAGAAGTTGTCCCTTGAGAAGAATAGTTATGTGTATTGACAGAATAGATAAGCGTGTTGACGCTGAGTAAATAACATCCCGGCCACTTAACCAAGTTTCCTATCTTTACATTTCTACTCTCTATACTTCCTACTGTATGTAATCTTCTTGTGAGTTTTGTCTTGTTACAACAGAAACTAAATTATATTATCTCTGTTAATATCACTTGTATTGTGTGCAATTCCATTTTATCAGTTATCTCTAATTAAACTGCTCACGGCTTTGTAGTCCAATTTGCCACCACTGTATTCATATTATCCTTTGTATTTTATAATCTATGTATCCTTATGACCTTGTGTATTGTGTATCTTATGCCTTTATAATAGCCTTTGTATTATTTAAACCTAGAGAGGTGAGGTTAGGTTATGACGAGGACCCTAGACGTGTTGGATGGTGATGTAGACGTGTTGGATGGTGACTTGGAAGTGTTGGTCGTTGACGTGGACGTGTAGGATGATGATATAGACGTGTTGGACGATGACGTAGACGTGTTGGTCAAAACCTAGGCATATACATGTTGGTCAGAGAGATAGTGTTAGCTTCGGCCCCTTTAGAGACACTGTTAAAATTTCTTATCTAAACATTATTGAAAACAAGACAAAAATGCTAAAAAAACAATTATCTCAAGACATGAAATAATAGAAATAAGGTAAAATTAGTCGCTGGAATCCATGTTCTTTTTCGTTGAAGTAAATAAACAGTTGATGGGTTTCTAGAACTACAAAACTGAATGAAGTCAATGAAGTAAATCAAGTTGTAGGGTAAGGATGAGAGACACTAAAGAGATGTTGAACAAAAGCTTATTGATTGTGTTGGTGCATGTGATACTCCGAGAATATATAGTGCAGTCCTTGATGGTGAGGATGGAGGGTGGATTGAGAAGATGGGGAATGGAGAAGATTATGGATGGATAAATGAAGAAAAGATGGACGGATGGATGGAAGGATGAAGAGGACGGTGAATGGAGAGGGCGGAGGATATGGAGGTCGACACAACACAGTTCTCAGAATTTTGGCACATCAACCAAACACGACAGATGTCATAAGATCACAAAAAATTATTGGTCGGAACATGGAGTATGGAAGTTTGTGGAGAGAATCCAGAAGAAGGATTTTGAGAGTGAACTTCAAGGTCCCTCGGGAAACTAGGAGAATGCTGGAGGAACAACATTGAGTGTGACTCCCAATACTCAGATGTGAAGGAATCTCTGAGGTGGATGGATTATGAGAGAGATGGAACAGCAGGGAAAAACTTCATTCGAGCGGCGAAGGGCCTACACTTGGCCTTAATGGCAACGGAGAGAGTTGGAGAACAACACCGGTGGCTGGAGAACAACACCGGTGGCTGGAGAACAACACTAGTGGCTGGAGAACAATACTGGTGGCGGAGAACAACACTGGTGGCTGGAGAACAACACTGGTGGCTGGAGAACAACACTGGTGGCTGGAGAACAACACTGGTGGCTGGAGAACAACACTGGTAGCTGGAGAACAACACTGGTAGCTGGAGAGCAACACTGGTAGCTGGAGAACAATACTGGTAGCTGGAGAACAATACTGGTAGCTGGAGAACAATACTGGTAGCTGGAGAACAATACTGGTGGCTGGAGGGTGCTTAGCTGGAGAACAACACTGGTGGCTGGAGAACAACACTGGTGGCTGAGAACAACACTGGTGGCTGGAGAACAACACTGGTGGCTGGAGGGAGCAACACTGGTAGAGAACAACACTGGTAGCTGGAGAACAACACTGGTAGCAACACTGGTGGCGGAGAGCAACACTGGTAGCTGGAGAACAACACTGGTGGCTGGAGAACAACACTGGTGGCTGGAGAACAACACTGGTAGCTGGAGAACAACACTGGTAGCTGGAGAGCAACACTGGTAGCTGGAGAACAATACTGGTAGCTGGAGAACAATACTGGTAGCTGGAGAACAATACTGGTAGCTGGAGAACAATACTGGTGGCTGGTAATGTTTGCGAGACAAGTTTGCATTTCACAGTGTCTTAGCTAAGGCATCAACTCTCATGTTCACTGAGGTCTTTATGAGAGGGGATCCACAGCAGCTTGATATCAACGCCCTCGTCCACAAAGCACGGACATTTGTGTCTGGTATATAGACAACCACTACACTACTGGTGGCTGTTGTGGTGGTATGAGGGAACAGATATATAGTGTGTACCTCCACCACAGCCACTACACTACTGGTGGCTGTTGTGGTGGTATGAGGGAACTGATATATAGTGTGTACCTCCACCACAACCACTACACTACTGGTGGCTGTTGTGGTGGTATGAGGGGACAGATATATAGTGTGTACCTCCACCACAATCACTACACTACTGGTGGCTGTTGTGGTGGTATGAGTGAACGGATATATAGTGTGTACCTCCACCACAACCACTACACTACTGGTGGCTGTTGTGGTGGTATGAGGGGACAGATATATAGTGTGTACCTCCACCACAACCACTACACTACTGGTGGCTGTAGTGGTGGTATGAGGGGACAGATATATAGTGTGTACCTCCACCACAACCACTACACTACTGGTGGTTGTGGTGATGATGTGGTGGTATGAGGGAACAGATATATAGTGTGTACCTCCACCACAACCACTACACTACTGGTGGTTGTGGTGGTGTTGTGGTGGTATGGTTCCTGAGGGAAGAGGAAGTGAGAGGCGGAAGGGTGTTGGTGCGTACATTAATTATTTAATAATATATTAAACCTGACTATTATTTTTCTCTCTCCCTCACGCTTTCCAGGACAAGCCTGTGGTAGGTACCCTAACATTGTTGTCGGTATGCGTGGTCCCAAGTGTTCGGTAGTTTTAAGTGTCAGGTAGTCCTAAGTATCAAGTAATTCCGAGTATCAGATAGTCGCAAGTACTAGGTAGTCCCTAGTATCAGGTAGTCCTGCGTGTCAGTTAGTCCCGAGTGTCAGAGAGTCTTGAGTGTCAGATATCCCGAGTGGCAGTTAGTCCGAAGGTGGTGTCAATTATAGCAACTTGTGAGGAATGAATGTGTTGAAACAACATATAATGAATCAGAGAAACAACACAAATGTTAACATGACTCACCTTAGTAGTGTGGGTGATGACGTAGGTGATGACGTAGGTGATGACGTAAATGATGACGTAAATGATGACGTAGGTGACGGCAGTGTGTTGTGATTAGCAGTGATTGACGTAGTTCATTGGTTTCTTGATGATATTTTTGAGGTGATTTGAAGTTGTGGCGAGTTAGTTAAGTTTATTTGAAGTTATGGTGAGTTAGTTAAGTTTATTTGAAGTTATGGTGAGTTAGTAAAGAGTATTATTGGCTGTGGTGATTGAGTTAATAATTTTACAACATATAGCGAATTACGGAATGTTACTACTTGGTTCATGAAAAATATTGATGGCAAAGAAAAGAAAATGATAATAATAATAATAATAATAATAATAATAATAATAATAATAATAATAATAATAATAATAATAACAATAATAATAATAACGAACCCCTCCCATAGTGACGTAAGAACTTTTAATTTTATGGGAAAATTACTTCCCTTAGCCCAACATCCCCCCCCCCTCACCCCTGATAGATATTAAAGCCAATTAATATGATCGATTTTCCCTTTCACTGCTTACAAGGACAAAAGCATGGTGAGTATCTGGAACTGTCTCACCTTGAACTGCCTCACACCTCCACCTGTCTCACACCTCCTGTCTCACACCCCCAATTGTCTCACACCTCCACCTGTCTCACACCTCCACCTGCCTCACACCTCCACCTGTCTCACACCTCCACCTGTCTCACATCACCTGTTTCCACACCTCCAATTGTCTCCACCTCCACCTGTCTCACACCTTCCCCCCCACATCACCTGTTTCACACCTCCAATTGTCCCACACCTCCACCTGCCTCACACCTCCACCTGCCTCACACCTGTCTCACATCACCTGTTTCACACTGTCTCCACACCTCCACCTGCCCCACACCTCCACCTGTCCCACATCACACACTTCCACCTGTCCCCACACCCCCACCTGTCTCACCTCCACCTGTCTCACATCACCTGTTTCACACCTCCAATTGTCTCACACCTCCACCTGCCTCACACCTCCACCTGTCCCACACCTCCACCTGTCTCACACCCCCACCTGTCTCACACCCCCACCTGTCTCACATCCCCACCTGTCTCACACCTCCACCTGTCTCACACCTCCACCTGTCTCACACTTCCACCTGTCTCACACCTCCACCTGTCTCACACAACAGCACTGCAACACAATTTACACCAAGCGGAATACGATCCGCAAATCGATTAACATCCAGGTTCCCAATTACTGCTGGGTAGACAGTGGCAAACGCTTAAAGAAACTTGCCAACAGTTTCACCCTGCCCGGGGGTCGAACCCGGGTCCGTTCGCTTGCGAGGCGAGAATGCTGACCATTACACCACAGGTACATACATACATACATCATTTTTTTTTACATTTTGGTGGACTAAGGCAGGTGCTCAGAACAGTGTGGCCCCTGAAGGGTTAATGTTACTGACTGAGTGACTCATATATACACTGGATTTGCCTCGTAAACCGTGTATAAGTAAGGTGAAAGTATGTTTGTTTACCTGTATGTTAGATGGTATACACTGTACATTTCGAAACCTGCGAGTTGTATTTTGATGGAAGAATGTGAGAGGAAAGGGAGTTCCGTGATAGAGAAGTGTAAGGACTGAAGGAGGTAAAGGTGTAATCCGGTTCGCCAAGAGGGTACTTGTACGGACTAAAGGTGATGTGGTAAGGAATGATATGTGTTGCAACTTGTCTTGAAATGAGAAGAGGATAATGAAATTTGATTTCAAGAGTACGGACCATAAAAAAGAATAGTATAAAAGATGTTATACATAGAGAGCTCTGTTTGCCACAAGAATGGTTCTTCTTTCAGGATGCTCATTTATGCCAGTATCCAAAAGGGTCCAGACATTCCATGCAGCAACCATTAGAATTTGTATAATTTGTTTTTGCTTTGATCTATGATTATGATTATGTTTCCTACTGCATTAGGATAACCTTACTGGGTGCGGCTGCCCAGTCAGGTTTTTTTTTTAGGCTGGCTATGTTAAGGGCACCTTTTCTAGCCCCCTCCCCATGTGGGGTGAGCAGAGTGACTCCGAGATAGGGCGGCTCAGTCGCATAGACAGGACCGGATTGCACTGCTGATCCCAGTGCATAAACGACCATCTTATCTATGCCGCCCATGTGCAGAGTTGTGACTAGAGACTCCCGGCAGTCATCTCTGCCTGTCATCGTCACCACTCGTCTGTCGTTATAGGACTTTTGGGGGTATAGAGGTTTGGATGATGATGAGAGGTATGATGAATTTGGACGATGGCTGCTCGTGAGTTGATTTATGTGGTGAGGCAGGAGCGTAGGTTGCAACCACACATCTTGGCTTTCATTTTTCCTGATCTAGTGGTGCAAGTGTCGCAACGACTGGGGATAGGGAGAGTCGCAATGGACTGCCGATAGCCCAGTTTGTTGGGTTTCGCCTTAGTAGCCTGTCCATTGGGCATTACCTTCGTCCACCTGTGTAGTCGTTGGGTTTCCATGGTGGTCACCTCTTCCACCTACACCGCCGTTGGGGTTATGTTGGAGCTCTGTAAGCATGTTCTGCCTGATACGGGGCTCCACTGCAGATTTTTCGCTAGGGGTTTACTCCCGTAGCCTTATACCTGCCAAGGTTAATTTGTAAGGCAGCGGGGCTGTGGTTGGTAGGCGCCAGGACATGTCCACATGACAGTGGGCCAATGCGCCGTCCCTCTGGGGCCCACTGCTGCTCCAATATCCCCTGTTGATTTAGCCTGTGCCCACGAGGCACCCAGTTACCGTGTGTTGCCAGGAGGAGGCACATCATGAGTTTTGATGATGAGGAGGCTGTGTACTGGCAGGGGAAGACTTATGCAAGTTGCTTCCCTGTTTGCCACGAGGGTTAGCCAGCGGCGGCAGCTGAAAGCGAGAGGGAGCAAGCAGTGCTTGCACTATAACACTAGCATAATGCTGCCACTCTAGACGCATTTCACCACCCTGTGTGACACACACACACACACACACTTACAACATACACACACAATTACAGCACACACACACACACACACACACACACACACACACACACACATAACGTCAGCTGGTCCTGTTGTAGTGAATTATGTTGACACACTTTTTAATAACTGAATACTTTTTACCGACAATTTTCCCCTAAACAATAGACTGGGGAAATTGCTTGGCATTCTGGTAATAATGACTCGCCTGCCGGGATACCTTATATATATATCTATAATATAATTCTCATAAATGTAAATGCCATAAAATATTATAATGTGAAATGCTTTAAATATTAAGTCTCATGATTAAATAAGAAGTGTATTGTGCAGGAGATAAAATTTCTTACGGTCATTATATAAAAGATGAGATAAGAAATAAATGTATATCGTTAGAGATTTAAGGATTAATGAACGTACCATTTCATACCCCTTTAATGTAAGAACCTTAACCCCCTCCCGACCCTCTTTCTTTGTACACTAATAGCCTGTCAGACTGTTTGTTGTTGGGTTACCTGGATCAGTCTCCTTAACTAACTCAGCTAGGGTAGCTATTTTTGTAAAAGGATATTTAATATTAAGGTAATAAAATAGTGGCGAAGGTGTGGGTATTGGGGGAGGTGGTAGTAGTAGTAGTAGTAGTAGTAGTAGTAGTAGTAGTAGTAGTATCATTATAAGTTTAAGTTGACGCTGGAATTTTCGAAATATGAATGAATGCATTTGTACATTAAAGATGTAGCATATAATAGCTGACTTAAGTCTTCTCGCCTCAGTTGTTCTTTATGGTCGTCCTCGAGAGACTTGCCTGCGTGAGTCGAGAATTTGGGCTGAATGTTGTGTGAACCTGAACTGCTCTATAATAACAATGAAACATGACATCATTGTAAACATATCTTGCATGTTGACTGGATACAGATATTGTGATTATCTTACTAATTCATTAAATACAGATATCAGGAATTACTGCATCTCGCTGCTATAAACTGTACATCCTACCTGCACAGAATATACATGTTTAAATTATGAATGCGCTACCAGCACTAAGTAACTTCCTGGACACACACACACACACACACACATAAGCTGAAATTATGTTATGTGTAAACAACTAAAGACACCTTGACGAGTGTTTGTTTACATATTCCAAGTAATAATTAATGTATTTCTGTGTGTGTGTGTTAGTACAGAGTGGTGGACCTGATGATGTACTGAGGAGGAAGGAGAAGATGGTCAACATAGGAATGTCTCTTGATATTCACACCAAGAGCGAGCCACCTTATGTAACACCACCAGTCATCAGAGGCAACTGGTGTGGTGTTGTACCGGGCCGTTAGTGTGGTGTTGTACCAGACATCAAGTGGCAGCTGGTGTAATGTTGTACCAGACATCAAGGGGCAGCTGGTGTAGTGTTGTACCACACATCAAGGGGCAGATGGTGTATAGGATAAGCTCTCAGGAAATGATTCATATAATTATCAAAATAATCTTTTTTTTTGTGATTTAGAAACACTACATGTCGTTTTATTTACAATGTTCACAACAGAAAAGAAAATCAAGAGGAAAAACTCTCTACTACAGATGCAAACCTGATCAACCACGAAAAGAGGATTACTGTATGGGATAAATTCAAAATACGATATTTCCTTTTACAGTGTCAATAAGAGCCTCTCGGGTCTTACAGTCGTGGGAACCTTTCATAGGAAGGTAAAATATACACTACTCAAAAAAGATGACCACTGCTGTTTATTATGAAGCAGAATCTTACGGGTAATTTTACCTCGTCCAGGAATGACTGGAAGTGTGTTTGTTTTTGTCGTTATTAATGGTGATGTTCATTGTTTTTATTGATTTTGTCTTTCATTAAGGATAGTGGGTTACTTCCATATTTAAATCCCGTATATGTTAACATGCTGTAATGTGTCCCAAGGCGCCAGTTTATTATTGATATCCTTATGGTTAGACGTATCTCACTATTTCGATAATGTTTCCACAGAAATGATTCAAGACATCTCCAGCAACAATTGGAAATGTGTTTCTGGAAAATAATCTGCTGGGTATTTGTTTCTAAATATTTGGAATAGTCGACGTTACTACTTACTTTTTTGTCTCCACGGACTTATATAATATTGTGAAGAAATGTGAATAAAGGTATTACAACATAGTTTCCTCATCCCAAAAATATTAATTATATTTTATTTTGTTTTTCGTGACTGAGATTATTCCCGCCATTTTAATTACCAAATAATTTTACATAAAAAAAATAATTATTCTAGTTATATAAGATCCCGAAACGGAAATAAGAATATGTATCTAAATTATTAGTGTTAGCGTTCAACTCTGGACGAGCGAAGGACTGGGCTACCTCCTCGTATGAATGTTGTACAGTCTGTCTGGCTGTCAAGAAAAGCTGACGTTGTGTTCAGTAAAGATCAGTGTTCCAAGCCCTAGCAATTGTCTCTCGTCTCTCCAACATTAACATTGATCCAAGATAACGAAAATACAATAAAAAATCAACTTTAAAGGTAAATTATATTATAGAAACTAGTGGAGAATGAAGTAG